GGGGGGGGAGGTAAAGGGTGGCCTGTGTGTAAGGCTGACAACCTTACCGCCATCTACAAGCCGACTGTCTAGAAAATGTGGGAGCATCAACATCTTACAAACCTACGGGCCTCCATGGCCTGTTACAGGGATACCTTTACTTTTATAACATATCTTACAGAATACTGGAAATCTGATATTCATCTTCCACTACAGTACTGGACATATCTTATTAAAGAATACTGGAAATCTGATATTCATCTTTCATTTCAGTAATGCACAAGACTATATGGCAAACTTAATAACACATTGTGACGTGGATGGCGCAACCCTCCAGCGGTGACGTAACAGCATCGGAGCAACTGCCGCTGCTACGGTAACAGGCCAGTCAACACTCCGTCCCCTCCACCGCGGTTGTGTAACAGCACTTCCCGCAGTGACGTAATAGGGGACACCGTGGTTACTACTCAGCAATAAATAACTCTCGGCAGCGTTCCCCAGCAACGCCTGTAAACACGGCGTTTATGCAACCGTGGTAGCTATCGCGTAACTGTTTTCTGTGTTGTCAGTGCGGAAGCTACATAACGAGAGTGGTTGATTACCTCCACCGTCACCCTGCGAGTCGTAGGAGGCGACGAAAAGGGAAGTCTCAAATCTGAGACAGTAAAATATGGTAGCGAGTCCCAAGGGACTCGGACCCAAGAAAAACCGCGCTGGCAAGGGCTAGCAGCATATACAAAGGACAGACCCACCCTCTCGTCAGAGAGGGCGCCCCACAGAAATAAGACCGTAACTGTCAAACAATAATAAATATCTGGTCAACAGCCGCAGGAGGGTGCTCGACACCAAGACTTACTGACTGACAGGCCGTCAGTCGGTATGTGACTTTGACTTTGAGTAACCAGTCAGTTGCAGTCTAGCATTCATGGGGTGAGTTCAAGTCCATTGTTATTGAGTGAATCTACAGCAGGAGAAGTAACTGTGATACTGCCGATGGCAGTAGTTGTGAGACTGTGAATTGTGTAATTGTAAGAGCGAGTGCTCTTATGATTAAAAGAATTGCGTGCAATGCAACTCAAACACCCGAAGCTAACAGTATGAAACCACCATGCTCCATAACAGAAACCATTCTAACTTGGGTCACAGACGTTAATATTTCTCATTCATCACAACACCTACTCCATGGTGTCACATATTTATTACCTACTCATCACAAGACAAACAAAATTATCAGGAAGATATTTAAACCCAAGAACGATCACGTCTCAGCAATTCAGGACAGTGACATAACTATAAATATATCACCCGGAATTTCTGACACTTCGGTAGCCTCACAAATAGGAAGCATTACAGGGCACAAAACATTCATAACAAATTTCTGTGGGGAAACCCTCTGGAAAGTGGATCCTTGTAAGATTGAACACCTCTTGGCAGAATAACATTAAAACAGGAGGTATCAATAAGCAGATAATTGGATCACAGGTCGATTCAACTGTCTATACATCAAATCCAATGAAAATCTCCGTGAACGTGAATTTCAACTTTCACATTCTGCTGCCGCAGCACTGCTTCTTAAATTATAGATCAAACATGGAAATTCAAAATTTTCACAGTACACCAGACTAGCTGCACAAATTAAACCTGGTTGAAGAACTTGGATGTTCAATAAAACGAACTCATTTCTCTTGTGTTTTACACTTTACTGTTTGTTCATTATACGGGAGTATTAGGACTGGTGTTTTCTTTTGAAAAACATAACCCTCATTTTCCAACCAATCTTGCCCCAAAATTATGTCTAAATCTCTTGGCAAACTGTCAACAACATAGCACATTTCACTTAAAGGTTATAATGTGTTCAAAATATTTAATTGTACTTGGCCCTTTACGTCCAGTTGTTTTCTTGTTATCCCACATATTTTAAGTTCTCTCCCTGTTTCTTTATTAAATCCTATCACCGAAGATTCTTTTACCAATGATATCTGTGATCCTGTATCCAGAAGAGCGACCGTTAACTATCCTGTTAATTGCGGACTATCTTCATATATCTCATAGTGTCCCAAGGAATCATCCCCTATAGATTCTTCCGAATTGTTTCTTACGACTCCTATACGATCATTTTCTATGATCCAAGGGTGATTCTCATGGTATTGGCTAACCCCTATTGGATCCCCTGTTAACATCCGATCACTTCCTGTGATCCTTAAACATGGTTCTGTCACATTTAAACATGATACGAGGATATCGTCCAGGTATGCGAAACAGAAGTCGAGTCCCCGCAGAATGTTGTGCATAAACCGTTGGAAGGTTTGGGTGGCATTGAGCAGACCGAAGGACATGAATGGTAACTCGAACAGGCCGAAAGGAGTGGTAATGGCCGTCTTCTGGATGTCGCCGGGATTGACGGCAATTTGGTTGTAGGGTCGTACAAGGTCGATTTTGGAGAAAATAGTACAGCCATGGAGCTGATGTGAGTAGTCATGGATATGCGGGACTGGGTAGCGGTCAGGGATTGTCCGGGCGTTGAGTGCTCTATGGTCGCCGCAAGGACGCCAACCGTTTTCTTTTTTGGGAACGACATGCAGGGCCGAGGACCAGGAGCTTTCAGAGCGGCGAGCTGTGCCATCGCGCAGCATGACGTCGAACACTGACTTGGCGATGGCTAGCCGGTCTGGTGCTAGCCGCCGTGGTCGGCAGGTCACTGGTGTGCCTGGTATCATCCGTATGTGATGCACGGTGCTGTGGCGGACTTCGCGCTGGCGTCCGGCTGGGTGAGTGAGGTCTGGGAATTCGGCGATGAGGCTGTCGACCGGTGTGCTGCCAGTGTTGTTCTTCACGCTCGAGATCTGCATGCTGGCGGCTTGAGCCCGTACGGATAACGTCGTGATCCTGTCCATGAGACGCTCGTTTCAGCAGTCCACCAAGAGGTCAAAATGGTAGAGGAAGTCCACACCGATGATGGGATGGTTGACGTCGGCCACTATGAAACGCCACGTGAATTTTCGGCGGAGACCCAATTTGAGGCTGAGGCAGCCATCCGTAGGTGTGGATGGTAGTGCCATTAGCAGCGCAGAGGTAGTAGTTTACGCTCTCCTTCCGTCGCGGAACAAGCCTGCGGGGGTATACGCACAGGTCGGAACCGGTGTCGACAAGGAACTGCCGCTTGCTATACTTGTCGGCGATGAAGAGACATGTTATAGAGCAGACATGTGCCGCCGGTGGTGTCTGCTGCTTTAGGTTCCATGCTGGTGGTAGTCGCAGGGTTGGGTACACCCTTGTGCCAGGGGCCCGAATCGACGATGGTACCAGCAAAGAGTGGTTCCGGGGTCGTCTCGGGAAGGGGATCTGCCGTGTGTGCGGCGATTCCTGGGAACGGTATGGGGTCCCTCGTGCTGTAGCGGGGATCTCTGGAGCTGGGAGGATGCTCTTTGGAGTTGGGCGGAGGGTCTCTGAAGCTGTTGCGGGGGCGGTTCTGTTCTGACCAGAGTGCTGCCACCTGTCGGGAGAGGTCCTCTATCTCTTGCCTGAGTGCGGCGTTGGATGATGGTCCAACGCTAGCAAGCGCCGGTTGCGGTGCGACCTCAGTGATGCGGTCTGCGCAGCGGGCTGCGGCTTCCAAACTGCACTCATTTTGGCAGGCGAGCATGGTCCTTGTGTGGGGGGGGCAGCCGACTGGAACAGATGGTGCGCAGAATGTACTCGGGCATGTCACGGACGAGGGTTCTGAGATGCCTCAAGAACTGCGAAGGCTTACGGTCGCCCATCTCCTCGACCGTGATGAGTTGGTGGATAAGTTGCTCCTTTGAGGGGGTCAGCCGCCCCACGAGCTCGGCCCTGAGCGTGGTGTAGGGGCTATGTTGGGGCGGGTCGGTGATGATGTCCGCAACGCTTTCCGCATAACGTCGGTCCAGCTGCGAGATTGTATAATAAAATGTGTTTTTTTTTTCGTTTCTGATATTGGCCAATGAAAACTGTGCCTCAGCCTGGGCGAACCATATGGCAGGCTGCTCGGCCCAGAATGGCGGGAGCCGCACGGTCACTCTCGGGGACTCGGTTGGTGTTGTGCTGTCAACGGTCGCCATACTTTATCGGGGTCACAAATGTGGAGTCGTTATTAATGTTCACCACACACGCTGGCTATTTGCCTAATCTCACTGTTCGTTCCACTGCGAGTGTGCCGGCAGAATTCGTTCCTCCGTAGTAGGCGGAGTCTTACGGCCGTCCAGCTGGCCTGTCGGGACGGTGATATAGTGCTGCCTCGGCCGCTTGCTGGAGTTGCGGCAGCTGCGTTCGCTGCCTGGTCGCTGGAGACTTTCGACTACTACTTCGGTTGCCTGGTCGCCATGAAGAGGTGATGCCTCTGACTGAGCTGCTGTCTCGGGATGAACTGCTCGTTTCAAAGTCAAAGTCATGTTGCAACTGACGGTCAGTCTGTCTGTCTTGGTATCGAGCCCCAGCTGGGGCTCATGACCAGATGTTCTCTTCCTTGTGAAAGTTGCTGTCCTGTCCATTTGGGGCGCCCTCTCTGACGAGAGGTCGGGTCTGTCATTTGTCAGTCTTAGTCAGTCCATTGAAAGTACTGACATATGTTTACAATTTAATTCTAGTCTTAATTACTATTTCTATGTACAATATATACAAGGCCTCTGTCAATCCAGGCATTGTACAGCATATTATGCCCT